ATATATATATATATATATATATATATATATATATATATATATATATATATATATATATATATATATATATATATGTATATGCTTGACGCCACATATTCAAGTTAGGAGCTCTAAGCTTCCACTGCTGCATTAGCATCCATATGTTTGTGTCTGTGTCTGTGTTTAATATATGCATAATATCAATGTGTCATCCTGCAAGTATAACACACCCTTTGCCTGCAGTTTACGCCAGCAATGCAGCCACCACCCCTATCTCTCACATGATTTAAGAGACTAGCACTCAAGCAGAAACTAATTTCAGTATCAACCATATGGGAATTTTCCTGCCTCAGAGAAAGAGGAAAAGGAAATAAGGGCTGTTATCCCAAAATGGAGAAAAAATTTCGAAAAATAGTACAATTAAAATTAAACTAACAAATCGCACTAACATGACGAAAAATTTCTCGCCTCCACTGATGAGGCGTAATTCCGCTCACTGTCTTTCTGTACTTCAATTTAGGTCAAACATCATCAAAATTTCTAACATCAAGAACTTTATCTTTCTTTCCACCCATAGTTCTTACCAACATATGTTGATAGACTATGGATTTATTTGAAAACCATCATTTTCAGCACTTTAGTTGGAGATTCATAACATTACATAACAAAGCAAAACAAATGAATAAAGATAAGAGTGTTCAGTTAATTAGCACCGATGGTGCATCCACGAGGTGGTCATCGAATGAAATTACTGAGTAATCTAATTACTAATAGATACTATATTCAGAATAAGGAAAAAAGCCAATGAAAAGGTCGGAAACTGACCATAAATATGTTACAATTTTACGCAAAAGTACAAGCAATCATTGATAATTACATTGTCTTTTAAACTTGCTTTGAATATTCCATGTACCTGGACAACGTGAATCCATCTACAGTAGGGGAAAATTTTCGAAGTGTCTGCTCGAAATATTCTGCTGTTACTGGAATCTGAGCTACTAAGCATGACTTGCTAACACCGCAATGGACATTATATAACTCCTGTAAAGTAATGTGCTATTGATTAATTCTAACATTTTATTATTTCGTATAATGATTCTTGATTTCCAAAATGCCATATTTCTGCCGAAAGCAGTGTTCGTTGAAATGAACTTAGCAACTTGATGTGAAGTTATTTTCTATGGGAATATATGAAAAAATGTTAACAGCCACGGTCAAAGATGGACTCGATATACAGCGAAAAGATAAGCGAAACTGATTGCAGGCTAATCATATATGAGGAGGTGCCGCGACCCGAAACGAAAACTGAGGAAGAGGAGAATAACGGAAGATATGTATGATCCCACGATATCTTCATTCAGTTTCAAAATCAAGAAATTCATTCAATCGTAATCGAAATAATTTTAGTGAACTACTGGTTTATATATAAAATATTTCAGCTGAGTAGTAGAATTTTTTGAATGAACGTATCTCGCTAAGGATATCCCATGAAGACTGCTAACATTTATTACGGAAAAAGACATGATGATGAAAATATGCCTTGATGGAAAGAATTTAACAATAACTTTCATTAAGTAATGGTCACAGATATGTCATTGGTTATTCTGATATCCGGATTAGCAAGTCATTAATAAAGTTTGTTAAGTTTCACAACATTTAAATGAATACGTTTTTCGCCCATAAATTAACCTGAAAGAATTGATGAGGGGATTGCAACAATTTGGTGATCTCGAGCAGGATCCACCGTGCCAACAACCAGATGGCACAAGATGTGTAAGGCAGACAAACAAAAAGTACAAACTGTCAATCTCCAAACAGTACAGAAAATAAAACAACAGTTCGACAGCAAATATCAAAATTCTTCTTCAAGAAGACGATAAAGAGCGGTTTCTGAGATGTGGATGTACTATGCAAAGACATATGCTTGACCAGGATTTGGTCGATCTTTAACTCAAATCTTTAACTTTTAATTTTCCTTCGACTTGTCAGAAAATGTAAGGAGAAACAGCGGTGAAATTTGAATAACTAAGTGATGAAATGGAAAAAAGCAACATACTTTGAACTTATTAAAATGCAGAAAAGCGACTTCGCGAGCAAATCTTCTCAGATCATCACCACTGAAACCATCCGTTACTGTTTCCAAAACATTCCAATCAATATCGCTTGATACTGTAAGTTTCTAAAAAAATGAAATTTTCGGGAAAGGCAAAAATTTGTGAACCATAATAGAACCTTAAAGATCATGCAAACCTGCTTTAGATATCCTACTGCTCGCTATTAATTTTTTTTTTTAAACAAATAGATAATAAAATAGGTTGAGACTCACATTTAAGAACTTCTTAAACAGGATTCTTCTTGATGCAGCGTCAGGTAAACCAACAAAAATTCTTTTTTCAAAACTGGAAGGAAGAAAGCCAATTACAGAAGTCACTTATTTTTCTATAAAATAATATTTTGTCCGAATATACTATTTACCTGGTAATTTTCTAAATGTGGGAAGCTCAATTTAGCTATAAACTAATAACAACAACAACAAACCGTCTCAAGAAAGCTGCATCCAATTCCCATGGACAATTAGTTGCACAAATAAGCAGTACAGAACTAAGCGAACTATGCAGCCTTTGAAGTTGCAGAAACAGCTCTGTCTGTAAATTGGAAACAACATAAATCTCAAAAATCATGAATTTGGTTAAATAAATGCTGTCGCTATAAACAGTCGTTATCACATTTGACTAGTTTAAGATGACAACCTTTATCTGACATTCGGAGCAGTAAAAAATTTTTCTGACAATCAAGTAAGGATAAATTTAAGCAGGCAGCGAGATTTTAAACATATTAAAAGACTTGACAAAAAAACAAGTATTGATAGAGTTTATTATAGCTATTGAAAGCACTAATACGAAGTGGAACTTGCTTTCGCCCACTTACCTTGACACGTCTAATATTATCGTCTTCAGTGACCTGTCTAATCCGGCACAAACTATCAATTTCATCGATAAATATAACCGAGGAACCATTATGAGCTAAAGCATGATCAAAAAGTTCACGAATTAATTTCTCACTCTGACCACTCCAAGTTGAAATTAAATCTGAGGAAGTAACCTGAAATGAGCCAAAGCATGAATCACTTACATGAATTCACCCTATTAAATCATGGCTTCTTCCCTACATGAATTTGTTCGTCATATGGTACAACGAAGTTGAGAGAACACTTCAAACAATGCCATTTGCTACTAAATCATAATCTACATATTTACAAAATAAAAAAAAATTAAAAAAATGAAGACAAACAATGACTTCTGCTTATACTTGAGCACACTTTACCTGATAAAATCTGGTATTCATTTCTCGCGCAACTGATTGGGCTAAACGTGTTTTACCTGAAACACTTACTTTTTTTCTACCAATCTTTGTTTCCACCCCAAATACTTTAGTAAACAGACTGCAAAAGCCTTACAATATTTTGGCAAACTTCATAACATTTCTTACAGCATTTTACGAAAAGAAATTCAGCTGCAGTCGTATTATTTAGAGAACTGAATAATAAGTGGTTAGGCAATTATTCTAAAAACAAATAAGAGAAATCTAACCAGTTCCTGGTGGACCATAAAGGAGAACACAACGCCAAGGATTATGGCCTGATGTAGCAAACCATTCCGGATACAACACAGGATCAACCACGGCTTCCATTAGAGCCTTTTTAGCCTTAATTCATGAAATCATTAAATTATTCAGAAATGGAAACATGTACACAATTAAGGCAGCGTCTAAAATGAGAATAAACCTCTATTTGTCCGACAATATCATCTATAGTAGGAAGCTGTGACTTGTCTCTAACAATGGTACGTTCAATAGCTTCTCTTCGTCCAGAATGAAAAGAATCGAGAGTATCCGATGGAGTATCCTGGAAACTAACGAAAATCTAAGTATTTCAGTGACTATGTGCTAAGTTTGCATCGAACTTATCATCGACTTACTTGAATTTTTTTACAGTGATAGAATTTCAGTCCAGTTTCCAACAAACTGATAATAGTGGTCAGTTGATCTTTGTTTCGTTCCGTAAACAGTATTACTGAGACGGGAAACTTCATCAAACGATATAACAGCGGTAGCACCCAAAATATGAACTTACTTCATAGAAGAAAGAAATATGTACCAAGCAAAAAAATTTGCCATCCTACAGCGAGTGCAAATCATCAAACACTGACTGATATTCACGGCAAACCACTTCCCCGTATGATAGAAGCGACTCGATAGTTCGAATACAAAATGACCCTTCTTCCTTCCCACCAAAATTCACAAATAATGAGCAAGAATTTGTAAATTATCTCTTAGAAATGACTGAAGGATTCAGAAACTACCAAAGATTACCTTCTCACGAATAACTGTTGGTGATGGTTTTACCTTGTTTGCTTGCCAGTATAAAATGCTTTCCACGTACAGCAGTGTGGCGCGCGCTTCCCTCAGCTTTATAATTGCCGACATCCCGGTTTAGTATCTGTAACTGACATATTTTTATTGGCCATGGCAGAAACAGACAAACTCATCTGCTTATGCCAGAACTAGCCTAGTTCACATGGAAATTTCAGAAATTCAACCGTCAGATGCAGTAAATTATCTCTTTTCTCCTCTCTTAAGATCTTATTTTAATACAAGCGTAAACTCATGAGCTACCCATCCCAGACCTTCGTATAACAGATTTCACGAAGAATCCAGAATTCAATTTCCTCGGGTCCGATACACTTGACTATTGCGGAGCTTCCAAATGGACAAATTAGTCTTTAAAACTAAAAATGATTAGAAATCAATCTGCTGAAAGTAGCAGTCTGGAAATTAGCACTTTCAGTTAATTGACATGAAAATCTGCTATTCAGGGAAGACTTCCTACGCATACGGGACATCATCTTAAACTAACTGCATATGTTAAGGAAAAACATATTCAATTTTTTTGTGTTTTATAAACATATAAATAAATACAAATCATATGCGAAAGAATATATCAACGATCACATATATTTACAAATACTATGCATTATTAAATATCTTCATAAAGGAGACAACTTAATGTGGTATCTACAAAAATTGGTATGAAAAAGCAGCCAATAGCGCAGACAGTGCACCCACCCAATGCTTCTTTGTTTTAGGTTTTCTTCCGAAGCTGATCCGTGCTCTGGAAAGGCGAACTCAGTATTTCGAAGGAAAGCGAAAATAAAAAGATGGGACATGAAACCATGAAATATATTTTGAAAATTTCGTCAACTTTTAATCAAAATCCTTCCCTGAATTATCGACGAGTACTGGTTAAAACTAAGATCAAAATCAGGAATGAAAATGGTTGTATGTATTTATTCGTTCCCTAAGCATGGACATATTATAGTTGAATTGTTGCGCTACGTTCAAAGCTTGATCTGTTAAAAACAGAACATCCATGAGCTGCGGAAGCAAGCAGTCCGTTAAGATAACTGTTAAACCTTGAGCACCTGAAATGAACAAATCAAAAATCTCACGAATAACAAGTTCATCAAATACGATTATCACACTATTTGATAATAGGAGTTATCACAGAAGCTTCAAACTGATATTATTTTCAAAAAATGTTGTAAAATCTACATAATTATATTAACTCTGTTCTATGTACTGTCATATCCTCATAAAATCCAAACTTAGCATTGGTCCTATTTCAAAGATATGCATGGCAAATAGTATGGACACTATGCGGGAAGAGGTAACTGAAACTCATCCGTTTACATCTTAAAACAGATTATTTACGAAACCAGTTAAGCTCTACATGTGTAAAAACACTTCGAAAAGAGCACCATTAGTTTTCGGTGTGGCTTGATAAGCAGCACAGACAAGGCGATTTGTATTTATATAGTATGAGAAAACCAAATCAGGCGGTAGGGGTGGATGGAAACAACGTGTTATGGCTGAATTACATAGCTCCAGCAATGTATGCTTTTCTGGCATGCATAATGTTGAACGCGCTTGTCCAATCAGATTTGTCACCTGGAAAACGGCTAGAAATTTATTATTTCAAGTAAAACATTCCTTGTTGCATAAAAATAATGTTTATTTAAAGAAGCGGAGGAGTTCGAAGTTTTAGACTTAAATTCAGAATATAAGAAATTTATCAAAGATGACTAAAAGTTAGTAAAACGAAAAAAACAAATTATACCTTAGCCACAATAGTGATGACGGTGGATGACACCTTACTCATATCATCAGGTGATATCTGCCTGATCCACTTCAGTTTCTGAAAAAGAGTCATTGTGGTCAATACCGGCCATTTGTGATACCTTGCTTAAAAAAACCAAAAAGAAAGTTGAGAAAACAGGACCATAAAAAATTGACCTGAACAAGCACGCTCAGAGCCTGAACATAGTAATTATCGGCATCTTGCAACTGCTGCAGTTTCCATTGTACATCGGGTTGTGCAGTTCCGCGGTAAACGCCACCAGACATTTTCGGATATTTTATTATTACCTAAAAATCAACTGAAATGAGAAAATCAGCCTGCATTTACAGTGCTTGCAAAACTTTACATAAATAAATTGACGACTTGTAAAAGAATCAGTAAATTATAAAATTCCTCCTACTTTTCAAGCCAGAGCATTCTAATTCTCATCGATACCTCAGTTTGTATAACATTCTCGCCAAGCAACATAACAGAACATTTAAATACTTCCACTCCTGTTCGTTGCACCAACGAAAGTTTTTCCGCTGTCGGATTTTCTGCTCCCAGCTTAATTGATGAATCCACTTTAGCAGACAAATTCATCCTTCTACAAATTGCCCGTAAAATATTTTCCAGCTGAAAATTTCAAAAACAAATAATTATTAAGTGAAAATGGCTAAGAAATCGTCACTAAAGGTCAGTTAAAGTTAATTTTGGAAATTTTCATCGCAACTCCTAATCATCGATACACACAATCAATGGGCTGACTCTAACGATCATCACCGTAAATCTCTTCCAGAACATCCGATGTCAAGTCGTGCTGAACCTATACCATCACTCATTGAGAACCTTTTAAGAAATACCTTCACAAAAATCCCGATGGTTTCCAAATTTTGGAACCAGTGCTGTTCAGCCAACAGACCACGTTGTATTACTAATGCTCGCTCTTCCTTTGATTCAGAACTGCTTCTACTGATGCTATCATTATCATCATCTCGACCTAACTGCCGGTGTACAGTTTCGGTGTCAATATCAACTTCATCCATTACGACTTTCTAATGTGTTTATCTGGAATATTACCGCAAAGTCTGTTACCACGAGTTAGCGAAAGAACAGTGTGGAATTAGTGCATCGTCACTGTCACACCTGCCAATTCTCCTAAGAAATTTGGCAACGAACAGTTACTAGTCCGTGATAGATTGTCCCTCACCAACCATCCTTCAAAGGAATTACCCCACGTCCCGTTCATCAGCACCAAGCCCTTTCCCTAAGCCATCCCCCACTCCTCATTCTCAGTTCTGCCTTTATGGAAATTCAAGGGCCTGCGGGGACACTATGCAACACTAACGAGTCGTACCTACCACAGATAGGTCATTTGGGTACAGATTAACATTAAAGTTCTTTCGCTTCCGTCTTTTATTTATTGAAATGAACTATATAAAGATAATGTCGCTGATGTATTCAAAATGTCACACTAATCGTTATTGTGAATTTATACGAAGTTACCGTGTAGAGTGTAATTCAAATAAAGTAAAAAAGTGTATTGCTCGAACGAGCAAATTAAGTGATTTTAAATTTTAGAAAAGATATGAATCTCGAATAAAAGAAGTTCTTGATAATACGCAAACTTATAACACTTAAGGAAACTTCGGCTACAACACTAAGGTAACTATGATCATTTAGCTGTTATATATAAAATGATAACATGCGATTTTCAGTGAAATCGACTGGAATAGATCATTTTGATGTTCGAAAAATATGACTTTGAATCATAATGGTAACCTAATATATTTAAATGCATTAAATATGACCCAGCACTGGTCGATGGTAGAATTTATGCAAAGGAAATGTTTTCGATTTGGAAAATTTCAAGCAAAGTGTGAATAATACATATTGGTGAACAACTCCTGTCACTGGTACTCGGTTAAGTAAATTGTTTTAAAGATTAATTTGCACTGTTCCGGATTAGGATAGTTCTGAAATCCTCCAAAAGATAATTTTACACAGCAACGTTTATCAAATGTCCAAGTGAATCATTTAATAATTTCTAAAGTATGTTGCCATGGATCTAACTCTTAACCAATAAGCATTAAGATATTACATTGTAAGTAGTTTTATTCGGCTAAGGGAAAAAGAAATAAATTGGTAAGGAAAGCCATTGTTAAGAATTATTTCATGTTTCCCTTTTCAGAAGGACTAATGACTGGGCCCAATAACACATGTAACCAAGAATTTGATCAATTGATAAATGAATGGTAAAAACAACCACTGAATGACGGTATAACAGGAATTTAAAGTTGGCGTTGCCAATAGATTTATTAAGTCAAATGGGATTTTAGTAATCTAAAATTTTAAGACTTTACATTATTACTAATCTGATATAATTGATAGCAATCAACCAGTCAGTGAGATTGCTTCCATTTGTTTCTTTTAACAAAACTAGAAAGAATTTGGGGATTATTAATTATCCCGAGATTCATTCATTACAAAAGAATATTAATAATTAAGACAAATTACATTTTCCAATATGCATTATTTTTGTGCAATATCTACTGTTTTTAACTGTCTCTTCGTGGTTTGATTTTTGAAAATTTGAATTGTACTTTCATAATTAAAAAATACCTTCAAAGCAGCAGGGTGAATATATTTGGAGAAATAGAAGGGACGTCATTTTTAATTGAGCAGACTTAGGAACTAGAAACGGTTTGCGAAATGGGACGAGGCGAGAAAAAGAGACTGAGGACAAAAAGATGTTAAACAATAATTGAACAATGATATATATATATATATATATATATACATATATATATATAACGAAGTTGACGGTAATGAAAAATGCGAAAATGGTTTTAAGTAGAACTGAAATTACGTTCTGGTTTCAAGATTTCAGGACCGGATTTCTCTATGTAAGTTTCTGCAATCATCATGCCGAAAGAAATTAATTGTGCTTTACCTTCATACAAAGGATATGAGTCAGAAAATTAGATTAGCAATTGATTTTTCTTAAAGTTAATTACTATAATGTTCTTTTTTAGATCCTTATTAGAATTTGCAGGAATTTTTAGCACTGGATGGAATGGTAAAGCATATTAAAACTGAAATAGTGATCAATTAAAGTGCTCTATTCAAATTGATAAGAAGTGTGCCAAGCATTCTCTCACTACTCAACAACGATTGTCACAGCGTCGCTTGAAGATAGCTATGAAGCATACGAAATTGTGTTTAATCACCGCCTCATTAATCATTCACATACCTGAACAATACATATGTATAAAAATAGAAAGATTTGAGGTAAGTGAGCGGGGTAAATCAGTGGACCCACTAATAAATATACAAGAGAGGTGAAAAAGAAAGACATACACCTATACTATACCAGTTTTCAAGACAGACAGGATGATGAATTCATTGATGAAATTCTTTTCATTTCATACTTCAAAAATGAACATGATGAAACTTCCATAGTATTGCTCCTGAATGCTTCCCATATTTGATTGGAAATCCTTCCTATTCTCATCAAAGTTAATTCATTCAGAATAAATTTTTATTTCTACACGACATTGCTGTGACGATGCTGCTTTCATATCAAGGAGTTTTCTAGATATCCATTTGGAAATATCATCGACTGCTTAAATATGAAACTGCAGGTTGATACTTAAGTGTTATTGGAAGTGATGGCATTTGTCGAATTTTTGACACCTCTTTCGGAAATGCTAACAGTTTTACTAGCAGTAGAATTATAAATACTTGACATGATAAGCCTACTTCAGAAAGCTGATCTTTGTTACGCTTGCAATCACATCACGACTAAGAGATGTTCTGCATTTGATGAACGAGGAACGATCAAATAAATACTTTCTAAAGATTACAAATGATACCTATTGAAGGTTTCATGTAGAATTTTTTGGGGAATAATCTTCATCCGAACATATATTATTTGTGGGATTCCGTTTTCTGCTTCTTTCTTTTTTGCAAATGGTTTTCTTTTTTTGCTTTCTTCTTTTTTTTTCTTTTTTGTATATACTGAAAACTTTGTTTGATATTAGAAATAAAGTACCAAATGTATAATAAGTTCGTACAAAACTTTGCTTTCAGAAGTTTGTCGTCACATTTTAACGTTTTTCACATTCTCTCATTTCAATCGGTGACTTTTACTCTCTGAACCATCAATTTTTAATCTGAAGCAAGGTTTTTGGGTATAAACGGAAACAAATTTCCAAAAGAAAAAAGTACTGACAGAGAAGGATAACCCTAAAGCAAAAGGTAGTGTCTTGCAATCGGCCCGGTGCAAACCCATTGTTCTTGCCCGAATTTTTTTTTGAAAAACAGTTAAACGACAGCAGGTTTCCAATTTCCCCTTCCTTCCCGCATTTCTCCACCTTTCCTACCCTCCTCCCTCCTTTCTCTTCACCTTCTTCTTTCATCATTTTCAATTAATTTACTATAATTTGCCGCAAATCCTATGCTGAAAAGGAATTTTCCCATTTCAAGATGTCAAAATAATATTTGTCTTCATGTCTGACGAAATATTTTTATGAGTTGTCTATTGCAGTATGTCTTTTTTCCTGAAAATTAACACAATTCTTATACTTATGGAATAGGGTAATGTTATCGAAAATATTCACGAAAAAGGAAAAAGGAAAAAGGAATCTGAAACGTAAAGTAATCTAAAATAGAAATAGATATTCACATTTCAAAGTTATTATGGCAAATTTCAAATACGAAAAAGGTACCACTTGTCTCACCTTTCCGAGGATCACTTTATAACCTTAGTAATAAATTATTGTTCTCAGTGAGGCTTCTTTACGCAAATGTGCACAGAAATTGTTTCTCAGTTCCCTATTGTTCTCATAAATTCCGAGCATCTATCACGTTTTCTTTTCTAAAAACCGCTCTTTGATATTTATCTTGCAGCGGTTGACGCTTTTCCACGACAATAGTATCAAATCATTATGTTCAAAATCATTATGTTCAATTTGAACTCAAAATTTCAAATTCTCTTCGAACTCATTTCACGAAATTTATATATGATTCTTACCTGGCTTCAAAATTTATCAAAGATTCTTGAAATGTGCATGACCCTTTAATGAGATGAATGAATTCCACAAATACCTGACGAAGAACAAATGAGGCGATAATTATAAGCAGGTAAGGTTATAATAGAGATGTGCAACAGAATTTTTTGTATTTTCCTCATGTCCAAAATTAGTGTTCAAATGGAGTAGACGAGGACTGCTTTTGATGTCACAAAATGGTTCTAAAAATGAGAAACAATACTTGAAATAGAGCAACGTTTTTAACTTATAATTTAGTCATTAATGGCGGTTGAATGATGGATATGTTATTCAAGTGTAACCCCTGGGTACTGAATAGAAATTGCCCCCTCCCATTCTCATTTTCTGCTCCAGCAATTCACCATAGATCTATTCGAAGCAACGACCTTTATTTGCAATCATTCCTTTTAAATCGTAATTTAAGTAGAAGAATTTGATATTTATTAGAAAAGACTTAATGTTTCCTAAAATTCTCAAATTATTTTGTGGTAATTTCTTTCAAAATCTTTTCTATCAAATTGATTTCTTATTTGTTTATAAATTAAGAAAAAGACGATCGCAGTATCGAATTCGCTTTCTCGTCTCTTTTATATTCGCGCAGTTGTTTCTTCTTGCATTTGTTTGTTGTATTTCAAACATGTTTGGTAGAAATATTCCTTACCTTATCGTGGCTAGCTAAAGAGGAAGTTTCTGAATAGAATTGACTTCAACCATCCAAACGACATCGGAACTTCCATTTATAAGTATACTAATTAATCAAACGACCCAAATTTGCAGCATTTTTTTTATACGATAAAAAGAGCACAGCACCGACGGCAATGCCTTATTTTTCAGCCGACAAAGCACCGCATGCGAATCCCGTAAGTTCTTTATTATTTAGCTTACAGAAAAAAAAGAAATGAGAGAAAGAGGATATATTTAATTAAAGTTGCGGCTACCTTTCATTCACAAGGCTAAAATTAATGCGGTCTGATGATACACTTGTAAATCGCAAAGTTTCAAAAACAAAATTTTGAAATTTCATGAAACTTGCAGGATACGGAAGGTAATATATCATCATCGCAGTCCAAATCTTTCCATTGGCCATTTAAACAAAATGAAACAATAGTCCAGAAAGCAAAAAGGTCAGAGCAATAAAGTTACTGGAGAATGCATAAAATCGTAAATATTCTGATGAAAATTGAAGCAAACATATTTTAGACTGACATAAATCCAATATTGCAGCATTTTAACACGACGGAAAACGAAGAATATCGAGCAACTTCACAGCATTTCTGAAAAATCGGTTCGATTTTCAATTCTTTTCCAATGTCATTTGTATAAGTAAATTTAACAATTTTGCATTCATTTTTTAAAGGATATCAAAATGTCAGAAATCATTTCAATATTCCAATCATTTTATAATTTGCATATTTTTGCAGGACGTGTTTTTTCTGAAGAAGAAACGCTGGCAAATCGCAATATTGGCAAACATCGGTTTCGTTATAGTTTTCGGAATTCGTTGCAATTTTGGAGCTGCAAAAGGACGAATGATCAATAATTTCACCGATCCATTTGGCAATAATCATGTATATATACAAATAAACTCGAACAATAACAGTAGTAGTAGTAATGATAGTGAGAATAAGGGTGAGCGTAAAAATAGATGATGGTGGTGATAGTGATAATAATAAATAGTAATAGTAATAATAATAATGATAATAATAATAATAATAATAATAATAATAATAATAATAATAATAATAATAATAATAATAATAATAACAATAATAATAACAATAATAATAATAATAATAATAATAATAATAATAATAATAATAATAATAATAATAATAATAATAATAATAATAATAATAATAATAATAATAATAATAATAATAATAATAATAATAA